AACATTACTTATACTTCTGGACTCTTGGTATAGGATAAGCACTGGACTGCAAACCATAAGAATGGTGGTTCAAACCCACAAGTTCAACAATTCAAAACCAACAGCTGCTCCTCGGAAATGCTGTTCCTCAGAATCCTGCATAGGGTCACTGAGTCGGAATAGACTCAACATGACTTACCAACAACAACAACGTTATACTGCTGGAGTCCTGTGTGGCAGTGTAGGATCAGCACTGGACTGTGAACCACAAGTTGGCAGTTCAAACCCAACAGTTACTCCTTGGAAACCCAATACAGGGTTGCTACGAGTGAGAACCAATTTAACAACAGAACTTAAAAACAACAACATTATATCACTAGTGATAAGCACTGTTTGACTAAAATCCCAACCTAACTTGCAAAACAGTGGTTTTGACCAGTTTCTGAATCTTGTGACCCAATGCTATTCTACCACGGCTGGTGTGTCTCCCAGCTGTCCTCCACTGTCATGGACAATCAAGCACCAATCCTTTAAGAAGTATCAGCAGACACCATGTAGGGATCGTCCAGCCCCATACCTTTCTAAATGTATGTATTTAAATGGTGCTGTGGGTTCATGCACTGGACTGCAAGGTCAGTTTGAACTGCAAGGTCGGTGGTTCAAGCATACCAGCTGCTCCTTGAACACCCTATACAGGGTCACTATGAGTCAGAACGGACTGAAAAGCAGTTAATAACAACATCTATTATTGAATCCTGTGGTGGCATTATGGGTTAATGCACTGGACTACAAAGTCAGTTTGAACTACAAGGTTGATGGTTCAAGTTCAGCAAATACTCCTCAGAAACCCTATAAAGGGTTGCTATGAGTTGGAACCAACTTGATGACACTTAACAACAACATTGATTATGTTTTTCATTATAATCTCCTGTGGGAGAAGGGTCTCTATCTACTACCACTGGTAGAAATGGTTCTCATTCCAAAACACGTAGAATCAAAAAGTTGTCTAAAATGTGTAATTCTTTCAACTACAATTTTTGTCTTACTCTGTCTTTCACAACATGGCAACTGATAAATAATACTTAAAAATCTCATTTCAGGTTTTTTATTGTTGGTTAAATAAATACATAGCCATATTCTTTGTAATCTCTTAAATGTTTTCTGAGCCTTTACTTATTTTAGATACTTTGAGGGTACATAAAACATTATCCACACTCTGGTTTTATTAAAATGACCATCCACGTCCACAGCTGATTGCAACATTGAGCATGCATGTGAAATGAGTCTGTCATATAAACAAGTGACAGTGAATTATGTGGCAAATCATTTGCAAATCAGCCATGGCTCTGCCTATGAAATAATCCACAAAAGACTTGGATATAGAAAAGTTTGTGCAAGATGGGTACCAAAACAACTCGCAGAAGAGCATAAATAGAGTATTTGGATCTTGGCAAACAAAATTTGGACCGACACTGAAACGAAGGTAAAAGTTTCTTAAAAATAAACGTTACTGGTGACGAGACATGGATTCAGCACTGTGAGGCTGAGCGTTAACAGCAGAGTATGGAATGGAAACATCCTCAAACGCTGACCAAGAAAAAGTTCAAAAGTCAACCATCAGCTGGAAAATTGATGCTTATAGTTTTCTGGAATTCTCAATTGGCCAGTATTGGAACACTATCAGAAAAAAAGGTTAAAATATCAACAGTGCTCGTTACACTGAGATATTAACTGAAGAGCTAAAGCCTAAACTTAAAAGCAAAGGACTGCTATCCAAGGGCATAGTGATCTTACAAGACAACGCTTGTCTGCACACCTCTGCCCACACTGCTGACACTCTGCAAAAACATCATTTTGAGGTGTTAAAGTCTCCTCCCTCTACTCCTGATCTTACTCCATTGTACTTTCACCTGTTTACTCCCCTGAAAGCAGTCTTTCAAGGATGAAGTTTCACCTCCAATGAAAAAGTGCAGATTGCTGGTGCATTCATAGATTCTCACTCAGTTTAAAATATTTTTTAATAAGGGAATCCAAAAACTTGTTGACATATGGACAAAATGTATTGAAAAGCAAGAAGACTGCGTTGCAAAATTACGTATTTGTTGTTTCTACAAATTGATTAAAATAAATTCTACAGAGAGAGTACAGATAATTTTTTACTCACATGTGTATGTTCTATGTCTTAAAATACAGAGCCAAAAATAGGCTAGAGAAAGTATACCACAGGTTTTTATAGTATTATACAGTGTTGGTAGAATTTGTCTGTGAGTAATGAATAAGAATTCTGGGGAGTTCTGGCTTAAGCACAGACTATGTGACCTCAAGAAAGACACATAAACTCTCAGGGTCTCAGTGACATCATCTCTATAACCAAGAGGTGACAAAATACCCATAAACTCTCCTAAGTGTCATAAAAGAGATACAAAGGTTTTTGGTATTTTATTGATAAAGCAATCACTACTAGCTGAAACAACAGAAAAGTGCTACAAATTTTCTTCTCCACAAAGATGATGAGGCACGGTTGGATTTTAGAAAGTGAGAGAAAGGATTCCAGTTGTAGCAAGGTTCAATGGAGGAAAAACCCAAGGTGCTTTAGAGGTAAACTAAGCCACATGAATTTCTGCTGACAATGGATGAAGACGATATGGAAAAAAAAACCAGAGAGAAATATTATGGAAGTCTTAGAATGCCAAGGTAGTGCAAAGCCCATGAAAATTTCTTCTTCTAGGATCTCTTGCTGAGACGACTGCAGGAGCCCAGTAGATAGTAAAGGGGCCACCTTGGAATTATGCAATAGCATGGCCCTGGGCAAACAGTGCCATTCATTTCCATATACCTAGTGTCAGGTTCAATAACCTGCATTTAATAGTTGTTCTCAATATATGTGTTGGATGATGGAATGAACAACACTCCAAGTAACTTCTCCAGTCTTCACTTTTCCCTGCAGGCTGTGTCCTGGGGAGCCATTCACCTCATATCTGACGTGAATGGCGGTCACTGGAGCTGTGAAAACAGCAGTCTTGCCTCAGAAAGGTCTCAGATCTCAGACACTTAGGTGACAAGAGCTTTCTAGACAAGAGATAAAGAAAGTCTGAACTACAGTGACACCTGTGGAACTGAGAACAGGAAAACAGATGCCAACATGATGTATTTCCAGGCAGATTGGAAGATGCATTATAATGCTCTGGACTATTCAGAGTCAACTCTGACTTGATTTCCCCCCCCCCATTTTTCTTTAGAATAATTCAATAATTATCTGTTGCATTATAATTGGGAGGCTTGCCAAGTTGCTCATAACAAGCACAAAGTTACTTTTATCATAAATCTCATACTTCTTTAAAAAATTTATATTGACCCTATTTTTTCTATTTTAGGATCTGGCATTGCAGTCAAAAATCAAACAACCCACAGCAATATTTCAAGGAAATGGAGAAAACAAAACAAAAATCCCAAGGGACCTGAGATTTACTATTTTTAAAAGACATACCTATACCCAAAAGAGGCCTGGTAGAGTACTGGATTATGAACTTGGCAGCTAACCACAAGGCCAGTCACTTCTGCTCCCATAAAGATTTACAACCTTGAAAACCCTATACAGGGAAGGAGGCTATGAGTCGGAACCAACTCCACGGCACTTAACCACCAGCCACCATGTCAGAGAATATGGTGCTAAGAGTGCACTGACCACTTCCATTTCTGTAATTTGTTTTCCAAATATACTTTAAAAGATAAAAAGGACTAAAGCAAAGCAAAAGCCACTTTTATCATTGAAGCTAATGTCTGACTCAAGTGGAGCATTTTGAAGCAATGTCTCTTTTAATAACATCCAGTTTCCAATGCATTTATTTTCTAGAGAAGTGAATCAAAAATTAATACCACAATATTTTTAGAACTCAAGAGCATATATATACAATAATGAATAAAACAAAATCCTATCAGTTTTAAAGTTATCAGATGATTAGTACTTACAGAAAATAAACTGAAATTTATTAGGAAACAAAATACAAATCTGGTTTGATACTTAACATAAAAGTATAGCTAGCTAGCTAAAAAGACTTCCCTAGGTTTATATTTCATATTTAAATGTATCACCTTGGGTATTAAACATGCTGCTAGCTATCTCTTAATGAGCACCTGAACTGTCATTTTTAATAACAAGCTGACATTTATTATATATAAGTTGATATTTCACTGAAAATAATTTGTGCAACACATAAACTAACATAGATAAGAATATAACAGACTATTTCATTTATGAACATTTTTATTATATAACGTTGTCATAATAGTCTAGAAAATTACCATTGTTTGTTGTTGTTGTTAAGTGCTGTTGAGTCAGTGCCAACTCATAGTTACCATGTATCGGTGACCCTGGTGAGCTTGAACTGTTGACCTTGCAGTTCAAACCAACTTTGCAGGCCTGCACATTAATCCACAGCTCCACACCAGGACCATTAACATATATTTAATATAAAAAATCAACATAAACCTGAAAACATAGGCCATTCTTAATATGCAACAGAAAGTTATATATAATCTAAATATTGTGTTTTAGTTGCATCACTGTTAAATAAGGTGATTTGGTTCATGATGCTGTATGAGAAAAATATACATATCTAATATAAAATATAATAAATCAAATAAACTAAATATTTAGGCCATTCTAATCTTAATTATGTAGTCCTGGTGTGGCACTGTAAGATAAGGACTGGACCACAAGGTTGGTTTGAGCAGCAAGATTTGTGGTTCAAACATACCAGTTTCTCCTTGGAAACCCTATACAGGGTTTTTATGAGTCAGGTCCAACTTGATGGCACTTAACAATAACAACAATCTTAGTTATATCTCAATTCAAAGTAAGACAAGAGAGGAAAAACCTCAAATTAATTGACTCGTCTAAGTATACACATCATTAATATACAATCAAGTAATCATATATTAGTCTATTGTAATTCAGTGGTCACATTACTCTGAAAACGCACTATTATTTACAAATGATAAAATGAAAATTTTTTAAATACCTCTTCCACAAAGCTGTCTTTCTTCTCCAACATTTCTCGTAATGTCTGAAGGATTTTAATGCACAGTTTTTCTTCTTTCTCCATTAGTTTCTTTGTATGATTAATTAACCTTAGAGCAAAATACTAAATGTTAAATAGAACAGTGATTCCTCCGAAAGGTATATACAAACACACTAGAAGAAAAATATATCATACTATTATCTGAATATGAAGTAAACCAAATAGATGTTTTCAAAGTTTAAAAATAAAGGTGTCTATGATTTTGCAGCAAAACTTTTTTACTTATCCTGGTACACAACTGCTATATGGAAGGATAGAATGTAAGAATTGTGGCGTCACAAGTAGGGAATGGAAGAGTATTATCAAGGTCTAGACTTTTTTTTTTTTTTTTGCAATGATTACAATCCTCTCTGTGCATCATCATTCCACAGTATTTGCTTCTATTCCCTATGTTTTGTTTGTTTGTTTGTTTTTTGGGTAGGGGGAGATGTATTCAAAGACACTCAGGAATATATAATTATTTCAACAAGGATCTAGAGTTTTTATAAGAAATAAGAAACCACTGTTCTAAAGAACATGCAAAAATGACACTACAAGTATGTATAGGGAAGATGAAGCCGAGGCATGAGAATCAGACAAGAAATGAAGGTGTGCTAAGGATGAAGAAGCAATTTAGATGAAAAATAGCCACAGTTCGACAAAGAACATATGGAAAGTGGATAAGGTGAAGATCATAGACACCTGAGGTTTATATACTAGGTAAATAGATGGACAGTGGTAATTTGAAATGATACCTATTTCATGCTGAAAGAGCTGCACATGTGGAAGTTAGCAGTACTCTGAGTCTGGGCAGAGCATTATAAATCTATGTGGTCAGGTCTGTTGTTGCTGCTATGTACTGTCAAGTCAGTTCCCACTCACAGAGACCCTGTAAAGGGTTTCCAAGGAGCAGCTGGTGGGTTTGAACTGCCAACCTTGCAGTTAGCTGTCCATTGCTTATCCTGTAGTGCTACCACAGTAGAAGAGTAGCTTTTGAGTTCAATTTATACAGAAGCTCACATACACGTACCCATATGTTGGGTTATTTTTTGAAATCTCGTATTTTGATCATCAAAAAGTATTTGAAAGTCACTGATTTAACCCAAATACTATATGTTATATGAATACCTTTTATAGATATCTTAGCAACAGATCACTCATATTTTGCTTAATGTTTTAAATATGGTGAGTGAATTAAGTATTTTATCTTAGGAAGACTTAAAGAAAAGTCTTAGAAAAAAAAAATCAAAACAAATTTAAATTGACTACCCAAATTATTTTTATGCATGAGAGAAAGGGATAAAAGATGAGGTATTAGAGAGGCAAGCTATACTTTTCTTGCAAGGAAAACTTTCAAACAACTATTCTACCTGCTAGAGTTGACCATTGGAGTCCTGATATGGACTATACGGGGTCACTATGAGTCAGAACTGACTGGACAGCAACTATCAATAACAACAACAATTGTATATCAGAATACGTATTCTTATATTCCATATTCTTTTCTCTCTTTTTTTAAATTAGCTGACTGCCATTTCCTAGTTGATATGAAAATCCACGAATAAGTCATCCTCCACAGTTTCAAAATCACTCAGATTCTTCTTCAGAAAGGAGGAGTAGGTATTGATTTGAGTTCACTATCACTGGTCAATTTAAATTAACCCCCCCAGTTAACTAATTTTCTTCTCTTTTCTTATGAGACTAAGAGAACATACAAATTCAGATCCTTTCCTAGGGTCTATCTCTCACACTCTCCAGCAGACACATCTGTGTCAACAGGTTCCAAGAATTAAATTCATTTGAGAAAATAAGAAATCCTGCTTATACCTGGGATCTAAGGCATAGTCTCCATCTATGCTTTAGCATCTTCTCTTGATGCATTCTGCATCATTCAATAATTTACCCAGAGAAGCTTTCAATAACAAAAGTTGAGGCTTGAATTTTTTCTTCAGTTCCCCCAGCTTGAGAAATGCTGAGTGTGTTCTTCCTTTTGGTTTTTGAGAAAAGATTGAAGTTATCAAGGACTTCATTCTTCTTGGATCAACTATCAACATCCTTTTCCTCCACCTGGATGTGGGTTCTGCAATATACTTCCACTATCATACCAATGTGGCTTCTCTCTTTAGTTTGCCTTCAGCACAAATCTTCTGAGTTGCTTTGTATTACCTTTTCATAGCACTGTGTTTTTAAGTTGAAAATGAGTGCTAGCCAATGAACATTTCTGCAGTGATAGAAATGTTCTATATCGGTACTATCAGAGTGACCAGCCACATGTGACTATTCAGCACTTGAGATACAGCAAGCATAATTAAGGAATTGAATTTTTATTTAACTAGCCATATGTGGCTAGTAAGGACTGTATTGACTGCCTAGTTATAGAATTATGGGTTGGCAAACCTTTCCTGTAAATGTTCAGAGAGCAAATACTTCAGACTTTGAAAGTTATACAGTGACTGTGCAACCAGTCAACTCTACCATTGTATCAAGGAAGCCGCTTTACAATAAATGAATGAACATGGTTGTATTTCAATAAAACTTTATTTACAAAATGGACAGTGAGCTCAATTTAGCTTACAGGCTAGAGTTTCAAAGCTCTGTTCCACACTATCAGTTCTTAATAATATCTGTGGAATCATATTAAATTCCTGGAGTTAAAATTCTCCAATTTATAATCCACATTAATTCAGTTTTTATATTGAATTACTAAGCAATATCTCAACTCAAATTTTTCTTCTAATGTCCTCCATAGTAATCAGTTTTGCACAACCTGGGCCTCTTTGTTTTAGAACTCTAGAGTTCTTATAATAAGAATCTTGGTACGGTGCTGCGGGCTAATGCATCTGCATTAACTGCAATGTCGGTTTGAACCACAAGGTCAGTGGTTCAAGCTCACAAGTCGCTCCTTGGAAACCCTATGTAGGACCACACTATAAGTCAGAACCAACATGATGGCACTTAACAACATCAACATTACAAGACTAGCACTTGCCCACACAAACACATTCTTCCCAGACCCACTTGGTTATATTGGGTGCAGAGTCAAGAATCTGATTCTGGCCCCAATATGGAAATTATACCTATTACCTTCAACATGATCCAAATCTTCTTTTATCTCCCAAATGAGCTTTCACTGGTAAGAGAGGAAAGCACTTTTTCTGTTCCCTCGTCACTCAATTTCTACCTCAAAATATCACAGTGAAACAAGAGGTTTCTAGACCTCTTTTAATAATATCTTCAATCCAGGAAGTAGTGTAGTGGTGATGGGAATTATCTAGGAGATTAGCAGTCCTGTCTAACTCTCCACCCAAATATTCTCCCCAGGAAGACCAGGGTCTTCTACTTGGCTATCTTCAGTCTCCATGTGATTACTCACAACTCTATCAATGAAAGGCCGCCCCTACCCTCACATAAAAATGTCTCTTCTCTCTAGAGTTACTTATAAAATTCTCAAAGCAGATTATACTTACAGCTATTCCTTGATAATTTTCACCTACCATTAAAATGAAAATATCCTAGGGTATATTTTATTAGCTGTTGTGGCTCTGTAGGATCATCACTGTTCTGCAAATCCACCAGCTGCTCCTTGGAAACCCTATATAGGGTCACTATGAGTCAGAATTGACTCCATGGTACTTAACAACAACAACAACAACAATAGTATATTGGAGTCCTGGTATGGCACTGTAGAATAAGCACAGGTCTGTAAGATCAGTTTGAATCACAAGGTCAGTGGTGCAAACCCACCAGGTGCTCCTTGGAAACCTTGTACAGAGTCATAACCAAGTGGCTGTCACTGAACAACAGTACAGTAGATCTCCACATCAAGAAAAAAAAGAAAGAATGAAAAAGCTAAGAAAAGTAAATAAATAAAAGAGCTGCATGGCTGAGCTCTGGGTCTGAGATTTTGCTGTTCTTTACCTGAAGCACACATGAGCCTCATCCTTCTCAGCCCTAAAATAGAATTGATTTCTTAGTCTCAACAGGGTGTTTGTTCAGATTAGATAAAATTACAGTAAACAGATAGAACAGTAACATACATGGTGAGACCTCTATGTACATGCTAGTTTTCCTCCCTTTCTCTCTATGCTAATGAGAATCAATGACCTTAAGCAAGAATCTTTTAAAACATCACACTCAAGACTTATAGAAAGGAATCAGAACCAAAATATTTTGTGTGATATTTTGTGCCTAACAATGACACATTTTAATTTCAGTACATTTTAGTAAACTAAAGCGACTTGAAAGTTTCAAATGCCTCAAATTAATAATTTTGGATTTTACTTATTAACATGGACTGTATACATTGAACATACTTTGTGGCCTGTCTTTATGTATCAACAGAATAAAAAGCCAGCACGGTAGAGTCCCTCCCTGTTGGATGACACTTGCTGAATCCCAGACTTCTGCACTTACTTGGACATGAAAGCGCCACATCTTATTCTTGCATCACTTCCCTCTGGAAACAGTAGTTCTGGACTGTACAACACATCCACCAGCACTGAGAACTCAGCCTGCATCATGGGGCTGAACTGCTGCTCCAGAGAGGCCACTACATCCTAAGGAACAGAGAATAAGAGAACCACATGAAGACTTAGTCAGATTTCACCTTCTGGAGAAATGACAAACTTAAAACTACTAAAAATGAGAGACGGGAGTTCCAGAGAAGATGTGCCCTGCCCTCCCATGTAACTAAATGTCTATGCTTTTAGTATACTCTGGTTTTATGTACAAATAGTGCCTGAATCTCTGCTTTTTAGCATAGTGGTTAAGAATCAGGCTGTGAACCGCAAGGTAAGCAGTTCGAAACTACCAGCTGCTCCGCGGGAGAAAGATGAGGCTTTCTGCTCCCGTAAAGATTTACAGCCTTGGAAACCCTGTTCAGGGTCGCTATGGGTCGGAACCGACTCGAAAGCACTTAACAACAACAACAAAAATAGTTAACGAGGAACGAAGAGCCTTTTGATTTAGAAAGATACTAGTATACATCCAAAAAGACCAAAGGTCAGTAAAACCTCTGTTACAATCTCTGTAGGAGCTACAATTGTAAAGGACATATTACTAGTATACATCCAGTTGGGATAAGTTGGGGCATGCTTGAAAGTATTTTTATTTTCAGGTTAAGAAAATCTTTCATATGTGTCACTGGACGCTCAGAACAATTTCTTCAAATAGAGAATTCCCAGATATGTTATTTAAAGCAGTATTAATACTATAGAGATATTTAGTCACATTTGATAGTATTTCAAATTACACTTTTGGTCACTGGCCACACAGCCTTTCTCTGCCTTCTTCCTTTCTATCAGAGTCACAGTGCTATTTCTGAATCAGGGACAGTGATCCCTACCAAACCTGGGTAGAGATGAATTCCTTTAAACCAGTCATGAAGATCACTTGTCTTTCCAACAATCAGCCTAGGTAATCATATGTGATGTCGTAACCGAAAAAAAAAAAAAAAACGACAGAGCATATGTGGTGGGGGAACTAGGAAGGATATTTTCCCAAAAATATAGACTACTCTCAAGACAGATTGAGAACAGGAATCCAAAATTTGCGATAGCCACTATGTGATCTTTGGAGACCATTCTGAAAGTAAAAGAGCAAAGGTCAAAAAATCAGATCATTAGAGCCCTGAACTCTTCAATCTGAAAAATTAACAAACTAAATAACCCAAACTTTAGGTTATTTCCTATGTAAAGGTACATATATTCTTTATTGTTGAAACCACTTTTAGTGGAATAGTGTACTAATGATAGCTGAAAGGAACCTTACTGATATGTTTCTCAAATGAACTGTTGTTGTTGTTAAGTGCCATCGAGTCGATTCTGACCCATAGCGACCCTGTACAGGGTTTCCAAGGAGCAGCTGGTGAGCTTGAACCACAGACCTTGCAGTTCAAATGACTTTGCAGTCTGACGCAATAGCCCACAACGCCACCCCAAGGCATGGATATTTTACTGAACTTTGTCTAATGATTAAAACATCCCCTTTTCATTTTTAAAATAACTATTTTAGCACTTTATTCACCCATACATCATGGCATGTTTTTTTAGACAGATAACCAATGGCAACAAGTTTTTCTCCGCTACAGCCTTGCTTAATTTCTCATAGCCAGATTTCATGCCTTCTCTCATGTTTAACTCTTTCTTGCCCTTTTAGAAAAAGTGGATCTTCATAATTCAACTGCTCTAAATAAATTCTCTAAGAAATTTCTGCTGACAATTAAAAGAGGCTAGCAGGAATGAAATAACATAAAGGGGGAAACTAGATATAACATAAAGATGGAAAGATTATGACTATAAAATTTGACCATAGTTAATAAAATGACACTAAAAAATGTACCAAAATTCTTTGGGTGATGTATGGTTAACACATTTGACTGAAAACCAAACAGTTGATGGTTCAAGTCTACCCACTAAAACCTCATAAGAAAGGCCTGAAAATCTACTTCAAAAATCTCAGCCATTAAAAACTCTTACGAATCATCATACTGAAGGAACTCAACTTGGGAGGTTTTGTGGGGGATGGCTAGGGGAGTAGGGGGAGTTTCATTTAACTTTTATTTAGAAAAGTTATAAATAAAATCTTGGTTTACAATGGGGAAAAAAAACACCCTTACGAATCATAGTTCTGCTCTGACATACAGCAGTTATCATGATTCTAAATTAAACTCAACAGCAATTGGTAGGGGTAAAAATGTTCCTAATTTTCAGATATTTTTTCATTTTCATTTCATTTACTCAACAAACTGCTCCCAGGAGGTAAATCCTGCCTTCATCCCTTATTTTAATCATGCAGAAACAGAATAATCTAAGACTTTGTTTCACCCAGATATTGATATAACAAATCACATGGACTTGCAGTGGGACTTAGACTTAAATTCCTAGAACTATCCTTAACATATACTTGCCATTTGTTAATAAATATTAGTAATCATTATCATCAGACTGCTGATGTGGCACTGTAGGATCAGCACTGGACTGTGAACCACAAGGTCAGCAGTTCCAACCCACCAGCTGCTCTTTGGAAATCCTATACAGGGTTGTTATGAGTCGGAACAAACTCGACAGCACTTAACAACAACAACAATCATTATCATTGAACACAAGTTAGCTGCAATGATCACCCTGTTGTCAAATTCAGTGATTACTTTTCTGTCCTTGCATTTTACACACTTGTTCCTCATCTTGAAACCCTTTGTTCTCTTAGCTTTTGTAACAATGCATTTTTTTTTTTTAATTTTCCACCTATATCCTGGCCATTCCTTCACCAACTCCTGTTAGCTTCTGGTCGTTTTCTTGTTTCAATGTACACTTAGTTATGAGGGCTCACATCTAATACTAGGGCATTAATCCTATCTATAAGCTGAAAACTCCCAAATTTTTATCTCCAGCCTAGCATCTTTCCTAAAAGCTCCAAGCTCATATATCTAACTGCAAGGTTGCTATATCCACTTGGGTATCTAAATAGGCATCTTGAGTTTTTAATTCCCAAAGAGAACTTTTGATTCCAACTCACCCCCAACTCTTTCTTCCACATTCTTTCCTAGCTTAGCAAATGATACCATCATATCAACTCCAGTATCATCCCGGCATCTTCTTTACTTCACCCATAACTCATTCAAGCAACTCACCAGATCCTATTGACCCTACACCCACATATGCATACATATGCAATTCATCTGCTTTTCTCCATTTTATTGGTTCCTCCTTAAGCCAAGACACCATCACCTTTTGCCTGAATTAATGCAACAACAACTTAATAGGACTCACAGTCTTTATGCCTGGACCTGTGCTAAAAATTGCCAAAGATTTACTATCACACTAAGAATAAAATCCAGATGTCTTTCCATATCACTACACAATATATCTATTTATCTTATAATACTTTCTTCCTTTGTTCACTAAACTCTAGCTGTAACTGACTTCTTTGTAACTTAAATTCAGTAACTTAGTTCCTGGATAAGAGCCTTTATGGAGTTCTGGTGTAGTTCTGTAAGATAAGCACTGGATTGCCAACTGAAAGGTTGTTGGTTTAAACCCACTAGCCACTCCTTGGAAACCCTATAAAAGGTTGCTCTGAGTTGGAACTAACTAAACAGCACTTAACAACAACAAGAACAAGGGCCTTTATATTTATTGTTTCCTCTTCCCTAGAACTTGCTGTCTCCAGATTTTTGGCTAGATAATTCCTTTTCATTATTTGGGCCTCAAGTCAAATAACTACTCAACTCAAAGACTCTCTATAGTATCAACTCCCAGCAAGTCTCTATCTTATAAACCTGCTTTATTTTATTCATACCAACTTTAATTAGCTAACATCGCCATTCATCTCACAGAGTCCTCTCAATTCTTCTTCATTCCTAGTGTGGCACTGTAGGATAAGCACTAGACTACTTACCACAAGGTACTCCTCAGAAATCCTATACAGGGTTGTTATGAGTCAGAACCAACTCAATGTCACTTAAGAACAACAACATCTCATTTCTTTAAAGATGTTAGCATGTAAGTTTCATGAAAAGTACAGACTGTCTGTCTTGCCCAGGGCTCTGTCTCCAGCAACACAGTGCTGGCATAGAGTATGCACCAAATAAATATTTATTTAATGAGTTAGCTGCCAACACTGTGTTGAAATAAATATACGGCATACCTTTTTCTTGGCTATTTGAAACTACTATCCACCTATCCTTGCTGAAAGATTCTTCCTTGACTCTCATAAACCCCACATTTCTCTTCTTTCTGATCCTGCTTTTCTTCTTTCCCTATCTGATCACTCTGCCCATTCCTGGCTTCTAATGGGTGTTCTTTTGTTCCCATTGCTATACTCTGTCATCAATACCATCCACTGTCCTCACTCTAAATATTTCTTCTAAATATAGATTTACATTTCAGTGCATTAAGTAGCCTAATTTAGCATACTTTCAATGGTCATCGCCATTCATCTCACAGAGTCCTCTCAATTCTTCTTCATTCCTCTTATTGCAGTCTTAATCATATCACTTTTGTTCTAGTCATCAGAGCCATTGTAAACACATACCCGCTTTCTACTTCTATCCAAGAACAGCCTTGTCTGTGAACCTGCGTCCATTATTTTCTGCAATATCTGTTCATTTCATTTGCAACACAGCCTCCTTACTGAAGCGTTTCAGTAACTCTTTACTAATATGTCCTGTAGTATCTCCCCAATAATCCTATCCTACAAAATGAAAGCCTGATTACTCATTCATAATTACATTTTCCCCCAAATTTTTAATGATTGATGACCTTCAAGTTCCCCCTACTATCTGACTCTAACTTGTCTTTTCAATATTAACATAACTCTTTCCTATTAAAACTTTGAACCTCAAGCAATTAATCTACAAGTGATCCCTAATAATATTTAGTATTTCTGAAGTATATCTTGTGACCATTGTCCAGGACCAAAAGTTTCCTTAATTTTCTCCATGAAATATTTTGCTAATTACACAGATGGAAAGATACTTCCTTTCTCCATATAGCACTCAATGTGCCAAAATGTACAGTTTAAAGGAGCCCTTTTGGCTCTCTGAGCAGCACCATGGCGGTCGGCAAGAACAAGCGCCTTACAAAAGATGGCAAAAAAGGAGCCAAGAAGAAAGTGGTTGATCCATTTTCTAAGAAAGATTGGTATGATGTGAAGGCACCAGCTATGTTCAATATAAGAAATATTGGGAAAACACTAGTCACAAGGACACAAGGAACCAAAATTGCATCTGATGGACTTATGAGTCGTGTTTTTGAAGTGAATCTTGCTGATCTGCAGAACGATGAAGTTGCATTTAGAAAATTCAAGCTAATAACTGAGGATGTTCAGGGCAAAAACTGCTTGACCAACTTCCATGGCATGGATCTTACCTGTGACAAAATGTGCTCCATGGTCAAAAAATGACAGACCACGATTGAAGCTCACGTTGACGTCAAGATTACAGATGGTTATTTACTTTGCCTGTTCTGTGTTGGTTTTACTAAAAACCACATTCGGAAGATATCTTATGCTCAGCACCAATAGGCCCGTCAAATCCGGAAGAAAATGATGGAAATCATGACCCAAGAGGTGCAGACAAATGACTTGAAAGAAGTGGTCAATAAACTGATTCCAGACAGCATTGGAAAGGACATAGAGAAGGAGTGCCAATCTATTTACCCTCTCCATGATGTGTTTGTTAGGAAAGTAAAAATGCTGAAGAAGCCCAGGTTTGAGTTGGGAAAACTCATGGAGCTTCATGGTGAAGGAAATAGTTCTGGGAAAACTAGCGGAGATGAGACAGGTGCTGACGTTGAACAAGCTGATGGCTATAAACCACCAGCTGAAGAAACTGTTTAAAATTCAGACTTTTAATGGTGACAAATAAAAGATCTTATCTGTGATAAAAAAAAAAAAAAAGCATGAGTGGGATACTGTACAAGTAATAATGCTTGGAACATACTGGCCAAAAAGTCATGAATATTTATCATATAAATTTTTGGTAAATTACTTTATCATATTGTATTATTAACAGTATACTATTATTTTGATATTAAGGAACACTACAATATCATCAAAACACATTAAATAATAATGCCCTGGTGTGGGACTGTGAGTTAGTGCACTGTACTGCAAAGTCACTTTGAACCAAAGATCAGTGGTTATGCTTACTAGCCGCTCCTGGAAAACCCTACACAGTCACTGGGGTCAGAACTAATTCAATGGCACATAACAATAACAATAACTTCTACCTGGAAATTTATGTTTTTAAATTCAGGTAGAGGTGGTAGGGAGCTGCAAAGCCTAAATCAACCCCAAATCGAATTTTATATTTTTTTAACCATTTTTTGTTTGTGTGTTACATATTTTTAAAATTATAATTTGGAAAATATTAATGTTATTATTTCATATTCTTATTATACCTGTAACTTTTCAATTATATTTCTATAATCCCAAGCAGGCCCTCCAAGAGCTTCCTTAAAGCGTGGTCCAGAGCGAGCGGATAGTCTCCAACCCATGGCTGCTCTTTGTACCATGTTTGAATGACTCTTCATGAAGAGAGTGTTGACTTGGCTGTCCAAATCCACTGGAATGGCAATTCCACGATTCTTTGCTGAAAAAGAAAGATTTCAGTTTAATTTGTCTTCTTAAACAATGTCAAGAATTTAACTGTGAATCTCAAAAACATGTGTCAATTACACCAGGCTATGATTCTTAGTGACTTGGCAACTATGCAATGAAGCAACTTGCGAGTTATGATGTAATTATCCTCCATGGTGTAATCTGATGTGATCAGCCAATCAATTCTAAGGGGAATATGGTGGGATACAGCACTCTTAGCTTACAATGCTGATATGGTACAAAGGGTGTTTCTCTGGGATTTGTCCTGCATGAACTTTTTTCTCACAAGAGATAAAGAAGAGAGAAGTGAATAGAAAAAGAGAGACCACCACAAAATAAGAGGCCAGAATGGAGCACATTCTTTGAGTCCAGCATCCCTTAGCACTGAGAAGAACGTCCTACACCCAGGAGTAGATTGATACCAAGACACATGAAGATCTCCAAGGAATGTTGGACTCACAGATACTAAAGGGACTCAGGACCTTTCCTCAGTGTTAACAGGGAGAGAAAGCCTTTCCCTAGAACTAGAGTTCTGAATTAGACTTCTATCCTTCTAAACTGTGAGAGAATAAAGTTCTCTAAGTTAAAAGTCATCCTCTTGCGTTACTTCAATGATAGCAGCACTACATAACTAAGACACACATGATTAAAACATCTGTAAAAACAAAGACGAGTTTGAAAAAGAAAAATATCAAATCTTTAAACTCTGCCATTAAGTCATTATGCAGAACTTCAAATGCTTTTAGCCTGAAAGTATTTCAATTCTCAATGCCAATTAGTAAATTGGTTTCTTTAAACATTCAAGAACTTACTTGATTTCTTGATGATTAATGCTTGAAACACACTTCATACAGCATCAATATAGAAACACATTGTGTAACAACCAGGAATACTAGTACCTTCTCTAACGGCCCCCAATAAAACATTAAAAAAGAAACAAAAACACAAGAATTCAGACAGAAAACATGCGAAAAATCCTGCCTCGCTATTCATTAATTTAATTGTAGGTTATGCATATCTATGTGCATGTGTGTGCACAGATACCTGTATGAAACTGCAAGTGGTACAAATATGAGTAGAAGTTAAAAACTTGAATGTTAAAAAAAAAATTCCTTGGATAATGGCACACAAAACATACTCTTCTTCCTAGAGCCACTGAAATCTACGTTTTAATAGAACAAAATATGAGAATGCCTGTCATAAGCAAATTAAGAATGTTGAGGCATTATTACTACACAGGATGGCGATGGGATTAGTCTATCACAGAAGAAATTGTCAAAGAAGATATTAGAGTTAGACCAGGTCTTACCAAGTTCATAATCATCCAGTACAACAAGTGGCAGTGGGATGTGGGGAATCATCTGGGAAACTCATTAAAGAACAGCATCTGGATAGCTGGGAAGGTAAGGCCCTCCTCTGTCTGACTAGCATAAACAGAGTAGTTGGTAGCAGCTTTATCCCCAGAGGAAAAAGCTAAAGAAATGTTCTTTTAAAAAAGTGGAATACCTGCCTGGAAAGAATGCCAAATGAAGGTGTTAGAACCTGGCAGAGAAACAGAGCAAACTTTGAATTAATTCCAAAGTTCCTCATCAAATAAGGGAAGGTATGGGAGAAAGAGGAAATAGCTCCAACAGAAGAGAAAATATGTTCAAGGCTCCAACCGCCAAGCAACCCTTTCGTATTTCAACATTTGCTGGTATTTCCAACCTGTCTCTGCTTCAGTAATACACACACACACATACCTTAAAGTAAAGTTTGCTTATCTTTTGTTCATCCCCTTAGCCAGAACTCAGTATTTGTCCTGTTATTTATAGAATTCTGGAGGAGAAATAGACTTCAGAAGTTACAGAGGAAACCCAAGCCAGACACTCTTGCCAGCCACCCACACGAGTCATTACAGAAATCTTGACAATTATAAGCACATATACAAGTGTCACAAGGGAAAATAGAACCATAAGGAATAATTAACCCCACAAAAACTGAGAAGATTCAGGGAAAATGAGGAAAATGTTTAAATGATCCTAATTATTGTCCTTAGAAATATTGGAGTAGATATGGCATCCAAACAAATGAAAAAGAATTCTTGGAAATTAAAATATGATTCAAAAATAAACATTTAAGAAATTGGCTGAGTAACAGAAAAAATGAACAAGACCAAATTGGTAATCTGGAAAGAAAAAAAAAAAATAACTAGGAATAACAAGGAATTTTCTAGAACATAGAAGATCAAAAGATCAAAATAGAAAATAAAGTAAAAAGATTATGCAACAGATAGAAATTCCAGAATAAAATAGCAGAGAAATGAAGGAAAGAAATGATTAAGAACAAGACACAATATTCCCTGAGCTGAAAAACATGAGGCAGAGTCAAAAACTACCCACACTCTGGCTATAGAATTTATTTTAATCAACTTTTACAAAAGACAAATATATCCTTTTTCAACATAATCTCCTTGCTTTTCAATATACTTAGTTCATCCGTAAACAAGCCCTCATATTTCCTTATTTAAAAATGTTTTAGGCTGAGCTGCAAGCCACAAATGCACCACTGTATACACTTCTTCATCAGAGATGAATCTTCATCTCTTGAAAGACCACTTTCACAGGACCAAACACGTCTGGTGCAGCAAGATCAGAACTATAGGGAGGATGCTTTAAGACCTCAAAAGAAAGATTTTGCTCCTTGACTGCCTTATGAATATTAGTTTCCCTTGCCTAATATTGTAAAATAGACACTTGAGTGGGATAGAAAGGAATGTTGGGAAACATGATTAGAGAAAACTTGTAAGCTTGCCTTCAGCCTATAACAGATTGGAATACCTAAAAGGGGTTCTACAACTTACCCATTGAAATAGGCCTCGGGCAAAGCCTTTACAGAGTATAGGACCTTAGATGGTATCTAAGTCCCATCCACAACCT